ATTCTTTTAAATAAAGTTACTCCTAACCATCATAATTAAACAATGCTTATAAAAACTTATGAATTTTTGATCTCGTTTAATTTGGTTTACATTAAAATAACATGTTGTAATTAATATAACGACAAAATTACATGTACTTAGTTTGAAATAAACTACAAAAAATATGAGTGTCCTGTTCTGATGCTACCCGACATTACAAAATGGTGTAATTTTACGAGCAAAACTATGAAATAAATTGTTAATTAAATTTTATGAGCAAAACCGTGTAATAAATTGTTCCAATTTTAGTATATGTACCGCCGAAGCGAGTACAATAAATTGTTAGTTAAATTCATTATATCAAAAAATCGTATTCCGGTGTTTTGATTAATTTTCTACCAAACCATGAAAATTAATTTTTTAAATAGAAACTAATTCATTTTTAATCACAGTTAATTTGGTTGATATTAAAATAAGTATGTTGTAATTAATATAACGACAATAATACATGTAGTTTAAATAAAAATGTGAGTGTCCGGTTCTTTTGTCTTCGACTGTACTCGATGCGACCCGACGAAAATCTGAACAGTGGGGATCGCAGAGCGACGGGTAGGTTAGCGTGGCATAGCATCGGGTAGATGTGCACGGGGGTAATGCAACCTTATGGAAAATCGGAGTTTGGATTTGCGTCGGGTAGCGTCGCATGGCGTAGCATCGGGTAAGTGTGTTCCTGGCTTTAAGCATCAGACCGTATGCCGCGCGCAAAGGGCTACCTAAGCCGAAATACATCAGCCCGGTCTCCCGCGCCCTCCCTAGATAGAGAAGGTGACTCTATCTCCCAGAGTATTGGGGCTTGTTTAGTGTAGAAACTACCGGATCCGCTCCGGCCGCGGTATCGTTTAAAGTGGAATTTCTAACCACCCCCTAGAGGAGTACCGCCTACAGTAAAAGCCTCCAATAGAGCTCAGCCTACACCTACGTGCAAAGCATACTCGAATAGGAGCAACTGATTCACTACCCGTTCCCATCCGCCACTACTCACGCATTGGCGGATTTGAAGGTGAAGGGGCATTAGGTTCCCCCATGCTACTCGGTCGTCCTTACAAGGCTAGGTGCGGCTAGGTGAAGGGGCAGATGGGAAATTCCCAGATTTTTCTAAACACTGATGAACAACTCTGCACCTATGAGGTCATTGTGATCCAGAAATCACTGCCAATGAAATCTTTAGTTTGAGGGGTGTATTGCTTGATAATTTCTTGGACAGAAGGACTGTGGTGAGGTTGCCTTCCACAACATGGAGTCCAGTTCGTCCTCCAGTATCCCAGCCATTGCACCACCTCCTCCAAACTGGAATGAAGGGAGCACGAACTGGTGCATTGTAAGCATTCCACGAATAGACATTCACAACTACAGAAAATTAAGATAATATTATAATGAAATTTTCGCACAATTGAAAAAGTGGTTATATTTAAAACAATAAAACATCCATTCCTTTTATGGACAAATCTAGCAATAAAAGAACATCAATACATGAAAAGACAGACTGTCTGAAAACAACCTAATAATAAAAAGGAGGATGTTTGTTTGGTTAAAAAATTGCACGCATTTTGTGAAGAAAATATTTTATTAACGAATATATAACATGTTTGATGTAGAGTTGTTGTTAACTTGTTTTTTAATATTAGAGAATGGTTTGAAAATGTGTGAAATAACGACAACAGAACAGTAAACATGTTTGTTTGTTTTGTACGTCATGAACCGAAATTTTTCATATTTCAGTTGCAATTCCGACAACGTATAACAAGAAAAGAGAACTTTTCGTCATATCACCTAAATCAGGGCCAATTAAACAAAAATTTGGTAAATAATTCTTAAGGCTGGGTTTTATCCTCCGCCCTCCCGGCGTCAATCGCCCAGCATGGCGCATGTCCTTTTCTTTCCTTGGCTCGAAGGATCAAGGTCGCGAAAAGGAGCAAGTATCAATATCAAGGGGTTTAGGTTAAATTGATAACTCTTGATGTGCTGACTGAAACTATAGTGTCAACGTTGATTAAAAGTGCAAGAAACGACTTTTTCTCAATAAGTCCATGCGAAGAATTTAGTTTGATTTAGTTCAATTTTTTTTTTTTTTGTTAATTATCTTCTATGTGTTTCTGGTATACGTCTTGCGTCTCGAATGTTTAATCTTATGTGCTGACTAAATTGATAAAATAGTTCATAATTCTTTTTCGTAATAAAAAAAATTGTACTAAAGACTTTTAAAAAAATTAAGTTCTTTAAAATATGCAATGAGAATTTCATGGATTCTAAACGGTTCGAGAGAGGTTTTTCCCTGGTGCTGTAGTGCACCTCTGAAATGGGGAGCATATTTTTACCTTCTCTTTTAAGATCGCAAGAATTTTATAAGAAAATTAATTATTAAATATTAGGTTACTTTAAGTCTTTGTGCATAAATTAAGTTGTATTTAAATTCCAGTATAAAATGTAAACGTGAAAATAGTTCTTCAAAATATAGCCCATCATTATCAACTACTTTAACCCATTTCTCTGCCAGATGTTGAATTTGGTTTTCGGAGCGAAGAACTCACTTCCTCACTCGTGGTTTCCGAAGTTCCGACCTTTCAAAAATGTACCATTGACCGGAAAAAACGGTGCTACGTCAGGGATGTAAGGAGGGTGGGGCAAGATGATAACACCCTTCATTTCTGAAAAATTTTCTTTGGCTACACATGGACAATGGGCAGGAGCAAGAGCTGTAAAAACGCTTTATCCCGATTGAGCAATGTAGAGTACATCTCTTCGTACTCTTTCGAGTTGTTCACAGTAAATCCCTGCGTCAATAGACCTGCCATCTGGAACCTGCTCAAAGTGCAAAGCATTCTCATAATTCTACCAAACACAACCATTTTTATCTCAACTAAAAACCTTAATTAATTGAAAAATATTAATTGGTCAAGCGACCACGAAAACTAGTAAACAAACCATGAGCTTTTTTCCAAATCCATCTTGACGATCCTCTGCTTGAACCATTTGACCTTGCGCTACCCACTGTTTTCGGTGGATGGGATTGTTTCAAAATATCCATTTTTCATCGGTCGTTACGATTCTCTTCCAATCTTTTGGATTTTGAAGCAAACTTTTACAGATATCAACTCGTTTTTCAGCTTGGGCGACTGACAAGTCAGAAGGCCTGATCTGGGTCGGACATTAAGCTTTTTTTAAATACCGTTGCATTTAAAAACCCCCCGTTTTGGACGATAATCCTCGAGTGGTCGCATATTGATTGACTCGTGTAATTCAGCATCATCCACCACTGAAGGACGACCCAGGCTCATTTTTGTTATTCCCAGAATTGAACCTCCTGAACTTAAACGCTCCACATTTTCACCTTCCACATCACAAATTTCCTCATCTGCTGCCTTCGCACTTAGTCCTTTTTTCCAGTAGTGCTTGTTATTTCTCTGGCACATTATTCGATCGCTATGATTTCAGACTGGAAAACCCCAGCTCCCGTACCCCGTAAAGGCTAGGAATACATTCCTGGAAGATAGCCATTTTCTCTGACAGCCAGGAGAAGGCAAAGAGTGTTTGAAACTGCATGGAGGCCCTGACGGAAGTCAGCGACACCAATGACCTGACCCTGGCATGGGTCCCTGGACATTCGGGGCATGAGGCACCGAAAAGTTGACATCTTGGCCAAAAAGGGAACCAACATGGACTCTATGGGCCCGGCCTAGCAGCCCGCCTCAAAAGAAAATACATCTTAAAATGGATCCTTAATGAATCCAAAACCTGGTGCAACAATGAGGCATGCGAAGAGATTCATAGAAAGACCATCCGCAAAACTTACAAAAGAACTACTGGAAGGCAACCGCAACCGAACCAGGATTCTGGTTGGACACCTGACGGGGCCACTTAAGAAAGCACCGGATAGGAGTGCAGACAGAAGAAACACTGTGCAGATACTGCCAGGAAGAGGAGAAAACCGCAGAACACATTTTATGTTTCTGCGAAGGTCTATGTAGGTGCAGGTTCTTGCAACTAGGACCAAAAAAAAAAAACCACAAGCAAGATCCTACACCAAAGAACCGCTGGCAAAGCTGTGGGGTTGGTTAATAACCTGAAGCTGGCCAGTGAGTTATAAATAACAGGGGAGCACAATAGATCTATTCAGGTCGAGGTGCAGCAGACCTTGTGGCCGCCTCTTTTATCCCTATACATATCTCTATCCAGTAATGCTTCAGCAGACCCCGAATAATAAGTTTTTCTTCCGATATTTTCGGTGAGATTTATAAAATGGAATGAAAGGCAGTGTCAGTTTGTAAACATAATTAAATAAAGGGTTAGTCAAAGTAAACAACGATATGCATTGTTTATATAGTCAAATAAGGAATAAAATAGAAACTTCAACATAACCAATTATTTAATGCACAAAGACTTTTCTAACGATCTAGTACATAATTAAATGTTTTGTAAAATATGAATAATTAACTTTCACTTTTTTTATTTATAGATTTTTTGAAATCGCTGAATTTTTTGAAGTGGGCAGACATTAGACTCCTTTTTGTTTGTGGCCATTCAAAGTCCTCCAAAGTTAGCCCTGAATAAGGCTTTACACTAAAAACTAGCTGTCCAGTTTTCCCATCGAGGTTTTGAATCCTATTCCCTCTATTGAAAAGAGAGCTTTTATCCATTTTAAAAGCCGTGTTGCTATTTTGCGGACGGGAAGAATAATGCCGTCGCCAAGGACGCTAAAAGCCCAGGAAAAGAATAAAAAAATATAAAAATGCTGGATTCGATCCGGTATTAAAAGTCAGTCGAAAGACAGCCATTGAAGCGGACAAATTTTTACGACAATTTACATGGTCGGGCCTTGGATTTGTGGATAAGGCACGTCCGGCGTTGAATTTTCCTTTCAGTCTTCTTGCGCTTCCAGGGCTGAAAGTACACCTCCCCCCCCTAAACAAAACGAGCTTAAACGTGCGTCTGAAAATTTTCAAATTTTTGTTTTCCTTTTTCAGCTCTTATTTCGATAGTGGCCGCCACCCTCTTCGCACTCCAAACGGACGACAAAGAAAACGATTTCATCGTCACAAGAGGAGAGGCGTTTTACATTGAGGTATTGATTTTGATATATTTTAACTAATATTTGTTAACTTGTACTATTAACTAATTTTATAAGTTGGTCGACTATTTTGTTTATAAAAATTTCATTATTCAAACTCTTCTAAAAGTTTTTTTTTTGTTCTTGTTTCACTGCTTAGTAGTTTTTTTGGCTTGTTTAAATAAACAATTTGGAGAAAATAAGGTTATGAAATGGCATGTGGGGCTTCTTACCAAGAAAAATATAAGCTTTTGAGCTATGATATGAAGTTTGAGCTAAAGACATGAACTTTTATCGACCTTAATAGGCAAAGTTAAATTTTGATATGTTCTGAAACCTAAGGTAATTTCACAGGTGCCATAAATTGGTTATTTTAGTACAAAATCTAAGAGTGTTATTAAAATGTATGTATACCTTTTGAGTTTTCCCTCCTTTTTGCCATTTTTCAAATGTCGTGTAATCGGATTGGATTCTCGACGACAAATGAAATGGCCACGGACAGCTTTAATGAAATGTACTTCATTTTAATCATTAAATTCACTAATTTCGTGGTACGCTTGACCAATTAATACATTACAATTAATTAAGGTTTTTAGTTGAGATAGGAAGTTGATGTCCGAGTGGATCGAGGTCACGATAGCTCAAGTGGTAGAGCAGCGGCGTATCTAGCCGAAGATCGTGGGTTCGAATCCCGCTCGTGCCATTAACTTTTTTTCATCTCAACTAAAAACCTTAATTAATTGTAAATCATTTTTAAATTTATTTCTTGAAACTTGACCCAGTGACGATTATCGTAAGGGATAGGATCGAAAAATTTATTCATTTTTCCCATAGTACGCCAAGTATTAAGGACAGAAATATGTCTATGTTTATTCAGTATTTGTCATTATCACTTGTTAGCTGGTGTTCCCCAGGGAACCGACCTAAGGCCACTCATGTATCCGCTTTATATCAGTGACCTGTCACCAAAAAAACACAACTTTTGCAAAATTCCCGAATGACACTGAAGCTCCGAAACTGTTAAATAGTATTGCAGCAACGACAAGAAAATTAATTAGTAAGGCACTCTCAACACGACACGCAAGAATGGCACAATTACGCAGAAAACAAATACTTTGAGCCCTGAAGATGATCTCAATAAAAATCGAAACGTTGGCACGTTAAAGAAAACGTTTTTCTGAAAACTACGTCACACCAGACCGCATCTCACGATTTCCGAACAATGATTAACTAATAAGTCCGGCTCAGAATTGGTTGACTTGATACTTATTTTTGGGCCAACGCTCCGGTATGTGTCTGTATGTAGAGACAGGTTGCTCGATGTATCCCACCTAATTAATGGATGTCATTCCTTGGCTCCATATAGAGAGCGAGTAGGAATGCCAAAACTGTGTTCTAGTACGTAGCAAACCTTGGGTCTACCATTCTGATTTTATGAGGAAACTTGGCTATTTCTGTGTATAAAAAATATTGTTGGTTATCTTATTACTGTTTATACAACAAGATAAGAGATGTATTCTATGTTGGGAATGTATTTATAAGCGTGAATGTGTGTATTATGCAAGAGCTCGATGGTGGAATATTCAATTATCCTACTCTCAATTATGTGCAGATGTTTATAAGTGTAGTGACGGTGTTGGTTCGATTATGCACATATGTATATGTTTATATGTGGCGAATTGAGTTTGTATAAATAAATCAAACCAACAACAGTGGGTGAAACCTAATATGAGATACAACCCTACGAAAGAAACCGTTATGTTGGTAGAATTAAAAATAACGCAATTAATCAAAAAATGATGATCAACGTATAAAAAAAACACCGGACGAAACCAGACATTATTTTCTCGTTAATCCAATACTTTGTTGGTTTTTTTAATTACATCACGAAGATTAAGCACCGCGCTTAATTTGTTTTAAAATAATATAATCCTTTTATTTAGATCGATTTTGTAATCTGCCACCAGCCCACAGTTTCAGGACCTTTATTTCAGAAAAAGTAATTAAAACATAACAATGTAAGCTGGAAAATTTTAAGGGATTTTCCTTTTTGTTCCTTTTGTAAAATTATTATGAGTGTCTAATTATGTGTGCACCCTTGTCCACTGTGTCTTTCTTTAATGTAATTATACTTGTTCAAAGTTAAAACAGTCATGTTATTGTGACGTGTTCTCAAAAAGTCGAGTGTTCACTAATCACGTCAAACTTTGAGGCTTCTTTTTTCTCCCAAAGCGTAATTAATCACTGCTTTGCAAAGGATTTATACTTATACCTTTTATACTTGAGCACAATGAGTTGAGAATAAAGTTTTTCCTATGAGCTTTGTGAAATCCTTAGATGCATGGTAGATGGCCGAAAGAAATTGCTTTTTAAGTCTATAGGGTTCATTAAATCCTATTTGTACTGTTTCTAAACGACTAAAACGACAAATGCTAGTTTTGTCTTTGGTTACTAATAATAGACTTTTATTAATGGCATAATTAGCATACACGATTTAATGCTTTTATTTTAACAACTGGCACAATGCCTGATGATCAAGTTTTCTCTAGCCGTGTTTAAGAAAACAATGGAAAAATTAGGGAAAAGAATGATGGCAAACATCATTCCAATTAAAACTTTCCACCCTTTTATATTAAAAATATATTGAAAAAACCGACAGATTCAGCACTACAAATGTGGAACTTTTAATAATGACGATTTCACGCCCGTTGTTATTGCCCTTGAGAGACGCTGTGGAAATCAGAACCAATTGATTATTGCTTATGGCCTTTGGATTAAACATTTGTCATCGCCGTGGTTTCTTTTGTGTTTCCAGGTAGCGGTGATTATCATCACGTTCTTCCTCTTCATCGCGACGATCTACGACTTCCTGTTTTCGAGGAGGCACGGCGGCGACCCGACCATGTCGAGCAGGGACCCGACAGGCGAGAACGCCACGACATTTAACAACCCGGGCTACAAGGAGAGAAAAGGTGAGTTTTGGGGGTGAAGAAAAACGAATGGGCTATTTAAAATCGAAAGATGCGAGAAAATTGACCAACGCATTTTTTAACAATCCATACAGCCAATATAAATTATCCTTAATCTTTCTGAAGTACCTCCAGACTGCTGCATTATTCACTACTTCAAATTTCTGTTCAAGCAAACTTCACAATGCAGTAATAATTTCTTTGTATATTGTCAAAATAATTTGTAGTTTGATAGCTGGTTAAATGCATTTCAGCATGTTTAGGTCTGTGCGTTAATTTGCCAGTTTTGTCCCCTAAAGGATACAAACAAACCGTTCAAAATTGAAAAATGTTGAAACTGTCGGAAACAATCGAATTTCAGGTTTTACAAACCTCAAACTAAAAATCGTCGAGGTTGAAGAACAATTCTCCAAAAATCCAACGAAACGTGATTTTTATAATTTCCTCCTATTCAATCAACCTGATCAGACAATCCTCTATTTTTGTCTAACGAATTTGACAAAAACTTAGCAAGTATAGGCAAACCAGGAAGATAGAAGACAACTAAATATAGGGTCAGCAAATCAAAATAAAATCCGGTCATCCTGATCAGATAATTCTCTGTTTTGCCAGTTATCGTGTTTCATGTTGTGACAAACAAACCTAGCATGGATGGGCATACCAGAATGATGGAAATTAACCAAAAATTGCCTGAAAAAAATTTTGACCTAAAACAAAAGCTAGACCTGATATGTGGAAATTGGGGATCAAGTTCTCCTAAAATCCAACAAAATTAAAGCTAAATAACATCAAGGTTTTTATCATTTGCTCTTATCTGATCAACCTGATCAGACAATTCTCTGTTTTGTCAGTTATTGTGTCTCATGTTGTGACAAAACAAACCAAGCAAGAATAGGCAGACCAGGAAGATAGAAGATAACCGAATTATAGGGTCAGCAAATCAAAATAAAATCCGGTCATCCTGATCAGATAATTCTCTGTTTTGCCAGTTATTGTCTGTCATGTTGTGACAAACAAACCTAGGAAGGATAGGCAGACCAGAATGATGGAAAGTAACCAAAAATTGTCTGAAAAAAATTTTGACCTAAAATGAAAGCTATACTTGATATGTGAAAATTGGGGATCAAGTTCTTCTAAAATCCAACAAAATTAAAGCTAAATAAAATCAAGGTTTTTTTCATTTGCTACTATATGATCATCCTGATCAGACATTCTCTGTTTTGCCAGTTATTGTATGTCATGTTGTGATAAACAAACCTAGCAAGAGTAGGCAGACCAGGTAAATAGATGATAACCAAATTATAGGGTCAGCAAACCAAAATAAAATTGAGACATCCTTGCCAGACAATTCTCTGTTTTGCCAGTTATTGTGTGTCATGTTGTGACAAACAAACTTAGCAAAGATGGGCAGACCAGAATGATGGAAAATAACCAAAAATTGACTGAAAAAAATTTTGACCTAAAATGAAATCTAGACTTGATATGTGAAAATTGGAAATCAAGCTCCTATCTCATCATCCTGATCAGTTAATTCTCTGTTTTGCCAGTTATCATGTGTCATGTTGTGACAAACAAACCTAGCAAAGATAGGCAGACCAGAATGATGGAAATTAACCAAAAATTGTCTGAAAAAAATATGTGGAAATTGGAGATCAAGTTCTCCTAAAATCCAACAAAATTAAAGCTAAATAACATCAAGATTTTTATCATTTGCTCCTATCAGATCATCCTGATCAGAAATTCTATTTTGCATGATGTGTCATGCTTCTGACAAACAAATCTAAGAAGGATAGGCACACCAAGATGATGGAAGACCAAATGGTTTCAACAAACCACAAATGAAAAATTTTCTGAAAAAATTTGACCATCAAAGAGATCTAGTCCAAAGGTTGGAATTCTAGAACATCAACAAAAACTAGCATACTCTTTATTTAACTTGAGATTAAGTTGTTTATCCTAGAAAAATCAAAGACAACCAATTTTGTTCAACAAACGTTTTTCTAAAAATAATTTTGACCTATAATGTTTATAATATATGACAATAATTCAAATAATTACAAATACAATTTTTTATTGGTAATTTGTCAATTGCTAAAAGTTTAAATCCTATCAGACCTGATGAAGTTCAACTAACACTTATTCTGTCCTACAATTTACTTTTTTTTATTATTATCAAGTGTTTTATTGTAAATTATTCTGTATAATGCACTACTAAGTGCAAGAGAACCTAATTTTGAGCCTGGCTTAAATTTTTTTGCCCATTTTCACACATTTTCTGTTTTGAATTTTAAATATGATTTTTCTTTAACTTTAAATTATTGTAATCAATTTCACTACTTCAAATAAAGTTTGTTGGTGTTATTTTACCTTGATCATATCTGTTAGCCTTGACAGCAGGGTTTTTACAAACATTGTCCCTTTATTTAATTAATTTTCTTTCTTTTCTTTTAATTTAAATTCCAATACTGTATCTTCAATTAAAGAAAATCTTCAGAAAAATTAATATAGAGAATTGTTTGACTTTTTATCATTCTTCAGTGTAAAAATGGAAGTTAAATTTTCTTACAAATTATATTTTATTTTAGGTGTCTCAATGACAGATGCAAGTGGCAAGCCATACCTGAGAGGCGGTTCCAACGGCTCAATGGCCACACTTTCTACTACAGTGAGCTCCAACGGCTCGACGACGGGCTCGATTGCCCGAAGCCCACTCCGCTCCAGCCTGAAGAAGCCGCGCAGCACTGGTCAGCAGGGGAACAACGGCATCGGGATTCACAACCCCGGGTTCAGCGGCAGCTCGCCCACGCCGTCGAGGAACGGCAGCGTCAAAAGAGTCCGCATCCAGACGAATAGCACAGCAGTTTGACGAGCGGTCTCATTCGATAAATACTATTCGGACATCACTTGGCCGGTTGATAAATCAAAATTTAAAATCTTTGCCAGTGCAATATTTTAAATACAGACTTTATTTCGACATTTGAATATATATTCTTGTTACTTTCCAAGGACTTTGGTGATTGCTATTTGTAATCATGCAGTGCCAAATTTTAAGCACTTTATCAAAACAAAAAATTTAAAAAAACTGTATATATTTATTAATTGTAGTAAAAACCCGCACAAAGCGGTGCAATCTGTAAATAAACTGGAGTATGTACTGTGATTTTCTCAACCGTACACTTTCAAAACATACATTTTAGAAAAATGCACACCATATAAAATGGTAAGAAAGATTTTTTCACAAAAGTAACCACATTAAAGTTTTTTTAAATTTATGTAATTTTTTATTATAAAATAATACTATTCAAAAAACTGACTAACTATAGAAATTAAGCATGTAAATTTAAATTCCATGTTATTTGTTATGATGGTCTTGAGTTTTGAGTTTTATTTTGTGTTGTTTAATTTAAAAATTTTTATGTTTCAAATTATTTTCTAACTATTAATTTATTGTGTATATATATAAAAGGCAAGTAATATTGTGTTTTATTGTAATTTGCTTTTAAAATGGATGTTGTATTATTAAAAAACAAAAAGAAAAAAAATTCAAGGTTTTCTAAAAACTTATTCAGTTTATAATTTGTTTTGTATATAATCTAAATTGCAGAATTTTAAAATTTCTGTATAGTGATTTTGTATTATTTTAATTTGAATCGCACATTAGATGAAAGTATTAAGATGAAACGATATCAAACAGTATATTTCAAATTGCTCATTCACATATCAAAATTTTGTAGAAGCGAATAGTAATATTGTATTAAGTATTATATATTGAGTTTATCGCATATTTTGGACCATGAATGTCAAAATGTTTTTGAATCTAGGAGCAGTCAGTTGTCGAAGATATGAGAAGTCGTGAATTTTTAAAACTATGTTGAAAATTTGCCTGATGTTAGTCTACACTAGGTGTTTTGATAAACATTCTTGCACAAATTGAGAGTTTATCGGCAAGTGTTGAAATATATTTTAACAATTCCCAGAGCTCGTCTTCCAACCTGTGGTCGAAAATATTGGCTCTGAATCCTCTGGTAAAACATTTCATTAGAGCTTTAACACTTGTCTGTTGTGATATTCGGACAAAGGAAACACATTTTATTCAACTGGGTGACCTTTTTTCTAACAACTCGAAGAGTTTCAAATGAGAAAAAGTATTATTACAAACTGTCATATTGTGTTAGGTAGGGTATGTTCCGTCCATTTTTTAATAGGTTATGGAGTTTGTAATTGTTTTATTGTAAAAGTTACATGAGATATGTAAAAAAAATATATATGTAATAAAATTTTAAAATTAACTCGAATGCGTATACTTCCTCTACACCTTTCATGCCACAAACCTATCAAATAATGAACATATATAACAAGAAAATTACTTATTACTGATTTCTATAAAGTCAAATTTGCACATGCATGTAATAAATGTACAAATGTGTACAGAGTTCAGCCTATCCTTTCTCATAGCTCTCTGGCAATATCAGCTTTTGTGTAATATTCAATAAATTTTGTGCAGGTCTTGAGCATCACCCGTCTCGGGTTGGCAGTCCGGATTAGACCTCTGTTCAATTCATCCAACCGTTGAGATTGGACTCCAAGGACTATCAACAGCTAGCTCCCAATGCAATCACTCTCCAAATCCAAACCCCTCACATTAATTCCTCCTAAACACTTTCTTTCTTACTTACATGCCGTTCACTAATTGATATTCCTCCATTATACATATTATAAAACTAATCTAACTGAGGGTCCTCTTATGCTAATAAATACATTCAATGTATACACAAAGTCACACAGGTATCTCTAATATCACTATATAGAGAAAAAACATTCCTGTTTCTTCTACAAATCTGAACAAGGAACACAAATACTCGCGTACAGCTTCAAGCTCAAGCACAATTCTCATATCAGGTGGGATTCCTACACGTAGTATAATTTAAAATATAATTTTTTTATGATAAATCTGAGAAATACTCTAATTGTTTTGTTAAATACAAAGTTGACATGAGTAATGTGTGGTGATTAGTGACCGTTAATCAATAATTATTCAGAAACCGTGAGGTGCGGTCTGGTGTGATGTAGGTTTCAGAAAAAGATTTTCTTTATCGTGCCAACGTTTCGATCTTTATTGAGATCATCTTCAGAGCCTGGGATTTACAAACATTGTTTACATATAACAATTACATTTTGGATGTGGAAAAGTGAATTTATACAATGCAAAATATATTTTTTATATATTCAATCAAAGTATTTTTACCACTCAAAGTGTTTGTCTTCTGTGTAATTGTGCCATTCTTGCGTGTCGTGTTGAGAGTGCCCCAGAAACGTTGGCACGATAAAGAAAATGTTTTTCTGAAACCTACATCACACCAGACCGCATCTCACGATTTCTGAATAATTAGTTGACGTGAGTGTAAGTTAACTTAGAGTTTAACTGTATCTCAAAATATTTATTTACATTTGTATTTTAGTATTATCGAAAGTTATAAAATATAACATGTCAGACCACCTGGTCGTAAATAAAATAAATTATGTCAATGCTAGGTTTGATTTTCCCCTTGTTAAAATATTTAAAATCATTTTCATAAGTCTATCGGAAGATGATTAGTGATGATGTTGATTCTTAAAAAATAAATAAATAAACTTGCATCATAACATACAGCAAAGATATAATACACAAATTTAACTTATTAAATCAGTTATATACATGGAGAAAATTGTGGGCCCTAGAACTGAATCTTGGAACACTCCAGCTGTAGCATTGCAGATGGGAGATTGATAATCAGAAATGTTGACCAACAATTGTCTTTTTTCCTATAGCTGTGAATAAAATGTATCATGTAATTGGGGAAACTGTACTGAATTAACTTGAAAATTATACATTTCACACATAGGTGAACTGTAAGTAAGTTTTTCGGTAAGTTGAGGTTAGTTCAGTAAGTTGTTACATCAGTTAATATTAACATTAACGTAAATAGCTTATTTTTTTATAAGTTGAAGTATGAGGGGTGGTCAGGAATAAAGTATTTTATAAAAACCCTTTTTCATTTTTTTTGCCGACGTTTCGACCTTTATTCGGGTCATCTTCAGCGCCTTCAATATACATTTTGAACCAAGTATTTCATGCCCATATAAAGTATGGTGCTATTCTTTTGGTATTATATTTGTTTCGTTTGAAATTGTTGTGAAAAAGATATTAAATGGAGTGCGTTTTCTGAAATTTGCTGGTCTCTAGGTTTGGAAATAATAGTTTAGAATCACTATAGTAAGTTTTTCAACTTTGAAAAAAAAATCCAAGTTCCCGCTATTAAAACGCTTATTTCACGAATGTTTACAAGTTTAGTATTGATCACAACTTATTGGAAATTTGACGTAGTTTTCAATGGTATCAACGGATTTGTCCTAAACCATTTAGTTTTGGAGTTATTATTGTTTATTTGAAGCAAGTTCGTGAATTCTTAAAAAATCAGAAAAAGTGAAATAACTCCGAAACAGTTGAGATTCGGACCATAGTTAATTAGGACTTTTTGAATGTAGATTCTACTGGCAAAGTTTGTAACACCCTAAAAATGTTGATTTTGAAGGAGTGGGGAAGGAATTAGGGATAGAAATCCATTTTTCTATGTGGAGTCGACTTCTTTTTAAGTGAAAGGGGCCGACAATGGAAAAAATGTTAATGGTTTATGGTTTGCCTGTTTAGCCTTTCAGGATTATTATAACGAGGATTATTATGGAAAGGAGAGATAAATTGTTGAAGAATTAGACAATGTCGAATTGTTTGATGTGTGGAATATAATGATGTTTTATATGTTGTATTATATGTATGTTATATGTATGGTGTTTAGTGACCGTTAGTCAGTGATTATTCGGAGATCGTGAGATGCGGTCTGGTGTGACGTAGTTTTAGAAAAACATTTTCTTTATCGTGCCACGTTTCGACTTTATTGAGGCATCTTCAGGGCTCAAAGTGTTTGTTTTCTGTATCGATGTGTTATTCTTGAATGACACATCTATACACACTTGGGGCACTCTCAAGACAACACACAAGAATGACACATCTTCACGGAAAACGAACACTTTGAGCCCTGAAGATGATCTCAATAAAGATCGAAACGTTGGCACGATAAAGAAAACGTTTTTCTAAAACCTACGTCACCCCAGACCGCATCTCACGATCTCCGAATAATCTTGTACCTATGTATGACTGTAGATGCTAAACTGTGATGAACTATCAGTAATTACAACCGGTTTAATTGATTTTCTAAGCTGGGCTTTGGTAAATTTCTTAATTTTAGTTTCATCCATCATTACATTACATTCCACACATCAAATATTTTTCACATAGTCTAATTTTTAAACAATTTAGAATAATAGCTATCCTTTTCCTAATTATCCCCTTCTATATAATCCTGAAAGGATGATCTAGCCGAACCAACCAACGTTTTTTCCCTTCGTCGGCTCTTTTCACCTCAAAGAAGCCGACGCCTTATACAAAAATGTCTTTTTTATACCGACTTCCTTCCCCACCCCTTCAAAATCCAACATCCATAAACATAAAACAGCAATATTTCACGGGCACTCTCAACACGATACGCAAGAATGGCACAATTACACAGAAGACGAACACTTTGAGCCCTGAAGATGATCTCAATAAAGATCGAAACGTTGGCACGATTAAGCAAATGTTTTTCTGAAACATACATCACACCAGACCGCATCTCACGATTTCTGAATAATTATCGGTTAACGGTCACTAATAACCACACATTTCTAAAAAGTTACGTTTATGTTTGTTTTCTTTCGTGTTTAATATTTTTGGATCGTTGAAATCTAAGTTGTGTTGGTGTTCAAAACGGTGGGTAGCCAGTGCTCCAGGATGTTGTTTGGGTTATATTTAATTTAAATTTAAAGAAATTGCCGATGAAGGGAAAAGATGTCTTAGGTATAAAAGTACCTCTGGACATACAGTAATCAAACAATCGGGATTTAAAGGGGACCGATATTTAAACCCTTGCTGGTCTTCCCCCCCTTCATAACGATTCCAAGTTGTACAACCACTTTTTATATATATTTTAAAAGAGTTATTTTTATCAAAAATTCAACAAGAGATTACTACTTTTTCAACCAAAAATTCCAATTTATCTTGAAAAATTTTTTTTTGTTCAAAAAGCATTTAGGCAAATATCTCTACAAGTCATCAACCACTGGGATGCCGGTGTTGAAAAAAATCCTATCCACGTACTTAGTAAAAATTTTTTTGGGCTAACTTATTGCAATTAACACAGTTTTGAGTAATTTTAGTTGAAAGGCGATTTACATGGGAAAGTTGAGTCCCAACATTTTGGACATAGTTTAAGATCATCACTGGGGAGTCAACGGGTGCAAGTTTAATCATTTATAATTAAAACATGTTATAAAAAAAAAAGATAAAAAGACTCGACTTACGATTATCCGTTAAATGGAGCCAAATAAAACAAAGTGTCAAAAAATGCTTGTTGGGTGACCTTTCGCATTTGAAAGGAAATTCTCCAAGCCTAGTTCAAAAAGGCTTAAATCGCCTAGTACTGACTAGGCAGAAAGATAATCGAAAAAAGTGAAAAATGGCAAAAAGGAGGGAAAATTCGAGAGGTGAAGTTGAGATGGGAGAGTTGGTGTCCGATCGGATCGAAGTCACGATAGCTCAAGTGGTACAGCAGCGGCGTCATGGTACACCAGCCGAAGGTCATGGGTTCGAATCCCGCTCTGACGCTGACTTTTTTATCTCAACCAATACCTTTCATAAATATTAATCAATCGAAAGAATGTTGGACCAACTGCAACCATATCAGAATCTTTTGTCGCAAGTTTCATTAAATTCTGATGACCAGAAATGGGAAAAATCAATTTTCAAAGTACATATGGGGTTAGAAGATTTCTTTTCGATCAAAGGAAAAATAGTGCCTTCATTTCTTATTTTTCCCCAAGTTTTGTCTGTAAAATAAAAGCTGGCCTGAAAGGCTGGAATTGGATGGAGTCGTGGGATACCTCTCCACATTTTCCAGGTCTTGAGATAGTTTGACGTGAATTCCTTTTCGTATTTTGAAAACACAACCGCGGGATTTCTCAGGAATTTTCAAAGAAGAAAAAACAAGGTAAAACATGTAACAACTAGGCAAAATCGCAAAAACAGGTAAAATTGATGATAAAAACTTAACATTTATTTTCTCTTTTTCCAACGATTTATATGATATCGAAAACAATCAACACCTGTTTTTCAATTCATCAAAAAAAAAAAAAAAAAAAAAAAAAAAAAAAAAAAAAAAAAAATTAGCAATCTAATATTGTTACGCTTGAATGAAATATTTTATGAACTTTATGGGGGTGAAATGTCAAAATCTAAGCAGGTTTATGATTTAAAGTTAAAAGACGAAAAAAGTGAAACCACTTGGTGAACAACCAGCAAAAATAAACTAAAAACGATCAATCAGCGATTTTTTAAAATCTATTTTGTTTGGAAAATATAATCGATTTTCTTATATTATTTACTGAAGATGAACAACGATTATTTATACTTTGTGTTCTAAAAATTGATCATTACTGACGGGAGATCTCTGAGAAAACATAGGCCACCCTCTTTAAAATTTTTAGATTAAGAATAGGCTGAAAATATTGATCAGTTACCTTTACATTCTGATAAAATTTAAGACGTTAGCTATAAAAACAAAAGAGAAAAGTTTCATCAGTATCTAACTGATAAACTGTTTCGATCTATTATTGCTGGTCGTCTCAGCTAGATATTACATTGATTAATTTTTCCTGGTCATTAATACAGCAAAAAACAGCGACGTAGTTGTAGAAAAACATTTTCTTTAACGTACCAACGTTTCGATCTTTATTGAGATCATCTTCAGGGCTCTAAGTGTTTCCTTTCCGTGTAGATGTGTCCTTCATGTTTTTCGTGCTGAGAGTGCCCAAAACGACAGCTTAACACGACTGACAAGAATGACACATCTACACGAAAAACAAACACTTTGAGCCCTGAAGATGATCTCAATAAAGATCTAAACGTTGGCACGATAAAGAAAATGTTTTTCTAAAACCTACTTCACACCAGGCCGCATCTTACGACCTCCAAATAATCATTATGAAGGATCATTATTATTCAGGTAAAAGTGTCCATAATAATCTAAAGCTGACACGACCAGCTAGAATAGACTGAAAACAGTTGATCTGTTACCTTTACATTCTGAGAAAATTGAAGTCAAGGACTATCACAAATAGAAGAGAAGAAAGTCCACCAACGTAAAACTGATCATTAATGATCTCTTAGTAAAATTGATCACACTTAAAATAAAAAAATATAAATTAAAATAAGTAAATAAAATATATAGATATTATGTTTTGTAGTTTTTCCCCGGGTATGATCGTACTTAAAAAAACGAGAAAAAGTGAATTGATAATTGATCAACTGTTTTCGCCCTATTTTTGCTTTTCGTGTTAGCGTGAATATTGGAAAATTTTCTCTGGTCATTAATTATCAGTGATCACACTTAACAAAAAAAGTCCATCGATTGGTAAATGATCAATTTTTCGGCCTATTCTGACCTGTCGTGTCAGGTAGAGAATATATAGATCGATTTTAACAGCTTGTTGATGAGTGTTCTTCAAAAAACCCAGACGTAAAGTTCATTAAATCATGACATCAATCATCATCATGAAGGAGGGAGAATTACCCAGTATGATCTAAAGCTAACAGACCAGGAAGAAAAACCGGAAAATAATGGATGTACCTTGACTTGTTTTTAGCAGTATGAACATTATGACCATGGGAAAAATGTACAAATATAATCTCTACTTGAAAAGACCAGTAAGAATAGGCAGAAAACAATTGAAAAGTTAACTATTGATGTTTTTTTCTTTTGTCTTTATGATGTTTTCATGAATTCAATTTTGTCAGAATTTAAAGGTAACTGTTCAACTGTTTTTTCAGAATTTTTTAGTTATCATGTCGTATTGGGATTATTTCAAACACACAGGTCTTCAATGTTAGCACACGAACTTTTTCTCTTGGTTTTATGAAGTACGATCATTAGGACCAGGGTCTAATATAAATCACAAGCTGACACGACCAGCAAGAATAGGCCAAAAACAATTTATGGACTTTTTTCAATATGATCACTAATGACCACGGAAAAATGTACCAATATAATGCCTATCTGGTTTAGTAGCTGACACGACGAACAAAAGAAAGGACAAATAGAATCAGCTACCTTTAAATTCTGACAAAACTGAATTAATGAGGCAAGAGAAAACGCCATCCATGGTGATCATCTATTTTCAGTCTTTCTGGTCTTGGAAGGTAGAGATTGATAAGTTTTCCTTGGTCATTAAAGGTCATTCTACAAAAAAATACAAGAAAATAAGCCCCACAATTGTTTTCAGCCAGCCTGAATAGATAGTGTCAACATGAGATTATATTTGTACATTCTCCTTAGTTACTAACGGTCCTTCATGATGATGAACATCGAAACATCATCAATGATAGCCCATGATGAACTTTTTCTGTGGGTTTTTTGAAGTACTCTCATCAAAAATCTGGTAAAATTGATCTATATTCTGTCTATAATCTATATTCTTTACCTGACACGACCAGCAAGATAAGTCGAAAAAAGTTGATCAGTTAACTATTGATGGAATTTTAATTGTGATCAAACGAATTAACAGATCATTAATGATCAGAAGAATTGAACAATATACTACCATCCCAAGCCAACACTACCAGCAATAGGCCGATAACAGTTGATCTTTAGATTTTGACTAAATTAAAAAAAAAATGACCTCAATGTGAATAAATTTACATATTGTTAATCAATGAATCTGTCCATAAAAACGTAATTTTACTTACCTTTACCTTTTGTTTTACCTTAGGTAAAATTAGTTAAAATGAAGAATTAAATCACAAATTTTTTGCCAATCCTCATCATCGCACTAAAGTAAATTTAATAATCTTTAATTAAAGAACGTTGTACGAACAAACAACACAGGTTCTCGGTCAATTTGTACTTAAAAGGAAACAAACTTTGGTCAAAAATTATCAAAAGGACACACATTTAGTCAAAAGTGATCTTCAGATTTCTAGTTTACTCAATATCTCATTTTACAATTGCGTATAATTTTGATATTTTAATTTTTTAAATTAATAAGAGAAAAGAAATAAACTCTTATTGAAATTAAGCCAGTTTTTTGTAAAATCGTTTAAAGGACGGGGCGTTTAAAATAAGTTGATACCACCATCTTGGAAAAGATAATTATCGCAAGTCGCAGTGATGTCAACCTATGCAAATTGAATAACATTTTAGTTAAATAAATATTATAGAAAAAATAAAGAAACGACTTGTTTTGCATTAAAATAAGAATAAGATCATTTAAAAAAATCAACATAATTGCTTTGAATATTTTATATTTACTTAATTACTCAGTTTGATATTTATGTCGACGTTTTTGTTTTCAGGTCTGCGATTCTCAGGTTGTTGCTGAAGTTAAAAATCGACGCAAATTTTCAGTTAAAATTCAATATAAACAAGGTTGATTTAAAGAGGGGAGTTTTAAATTCTATTTGATCCCCCACCTTCTTGTTGACTCACGACATCAGCAGGGGGATCAGCAGACCCGGCATCGGATTGGCCCGTTCGAATCCGTCCGTTGAACAGTTCCCCCGGGTCCCCCCGTACACGACGTCGAAACGGTTTCTGGTTTTCTGCAGACGTCTGACAATCCAGTGGAGTCAGTCAAGCCAGGGAAGCTCCGTGCTTAAAAGAAGCACCGCCGCGACTTTTTCCGTATACCTTTTGCCCTTTAGTCTGGGGGAGATTAACGTCCATATTTTGTCGTGTCCCGTTCGTTTTTATTTGCCGTCAAGATGTCCTTCTCCAAGGCGAAACTGTTGAGGTTCAATGAAGAAATGAGTAAGTTTTTTTTGGTTATTTCTCAATAATTATTAAATTGATTCATTTGAAATAAAGAGCCGATCGATGGCATTTATGTCACATCTCGCGATTTATTCTCGTCCGGTTTCCAAGTTACTGGAACATATTTTTGCGTACCAAACTGAAAAAATAAACACGAGGATTTTTCTTTACAGCCGGTAAAATCCGATAAATGTACCTTCAAACATATTCGCCTGGTTGGCGATGTTTGTCCACGGATCTGCCTACTGAGAAAACAAAACTCGGTCTGTTTGTTTTGAACCGGAAACCCCGCGGAGTTAATCACAGGAGCCCGAGAGAGTTCAAAGTCGGAAATTCTTCCTTCATTTTTTTACATTTTTTACTCAAATTTACACCCAAATCTACACAAAATGGCGGTCGAATGAAAGTACCGACAAACCTCGTTCGTCCTACATTTTTACTCTTATTTTCCGGTTGTTGCCTTTTAACATTTCTTGGGCTTCTTTACAGGAACTAGACGACCATCAAACTCATTTTCTTTTTATTGATACTCCCGAAATCAATTATCAGTAAAAAGAAAATGAGTTTGATGGCTGTCTCTTTTGTTCTAAATTCTGTCTCTTGGTTTCTAGATTTAGCATAATTTCATGTCCAAATAGGTTACAATTACCCTAAATGTTTATCGTCATCGATCTTTGATGTCCTTTTTTACGTTTTAAACGGCTTTTTTTTAGATGTGTTAATTTAATCAACGAAATATAGTAATCTTCCATTTTCTACAGAAACTAACCTGTTTTCCGAAGGCGTAAATAATATAAAATATCTTTACGTAATTAATAAATTTTTCGGAGATGAAATTGAAATTAAAATTATATAGAATTAATCTATATTTTATCTGTTTTATCGAATTTGATCATAATTGATGATTGACACGATCACCGAGAACAACCTGAAAACATTTTTAAATTCTGACAGAGTTCATATTTATCCCTTGTTTCTTCGAGATAATCTCAAGCCGATCGGCAAGAATATGGTGAAAACAGTTGATCATTTACCAATTGACTTCTTTTTTTCTTTCTAGTATGGCTTGGGATACTTCAAGCATGTGATACACCAGAAAAGATCACATTTCCCTGAAATGAAGCTTCATGTCTTGTCAGCTTGAGATTATATCGGTAGATTTTTTTTCTAATCATTAATGATCAAATAGCAAAATACACACTGATGACATCATGATAGCCTATGATGATCTTTTCCTCTTTTTTTTTTTTTGAAGTGCGATCATTAAATACCAGAGAAAATTAACGAATATCATACCAACCTGACTTGATAACAATAGGCCAAACAGAGTTGATCCTCAGTTTCAAACTTCTATCAACATTTATAAAAATAATTAATTCACTATGTATGCACATCTATCAATCACTTTTGAATGAACTTTTTCTTTGTGTGTATTTTGCTATATGATCGATCATTAACGACTAGGAAAAAAATCGATCGATATAATCCCATGCTGACACGACTAGCAAGAATCTGTCGAAAAGGTTCATCAATTACCTTTAAATTATGACAAAATTGGAAACTTATTTTTTCTGAATTCAGTTTACTTTATTATGTACAAGTCATAAGCAATACTTGAAAAGTTGTTTTTTTGCCTATTCTGGCTGGGTGTGCCAGTTTGAGATTATAATGATCACTTTTCCCTGGAATGATCCTTCATGATGATGATAATCATCACTGATAGCCTATGATGATCTTTTTCTCTGGGTTTTTTTGGAGTACGATCATTAAATACCAGAGAAAATTAACGAATATCATACCAATCTGTTTTGATAACAATAGGCTGAACAGAATTGATCTGCAATTTCAAAATTCTATCAAAATTTATAAAAATTAATTTACTAAATATATGCATCCATCAATCACTTTTGGATGAACTTTTTCATTGTGTGTATTTTGCTATATGATCATTAATGACTAGAAAAAAATCGATCGATATAATCCCACGCTGATACAACTAGCAATCTGTCGAAAAGGGTTGATCAATTACCTTTAAATTCTGACAAAATTGGAAACTTATTTGATCTGAATTCAATTTACTTGATTATGGGCTAAGTCATGAGCCATACTTAAAAAAAATTAAAAAAAAAAAAAGAGTTGGTAACTGATCAGTTGTTTTTGCCTCTCTGGCTGGTCGTATCACCTTGAGATTATGTCGATCGATTTTTTCCTAGTCATTAATGATCATATCGCAAAATCAATAATCATCACTGATATCCTATGATGATCTTTTTCTGTTAATTTTTTGAAGTACGATCATGAAACAGTAAAAATTAACGAATATAGCTAGCTTGACAACAATCGGCTGAACACAGTTGATCTGAAATTTTAAAATTCCATCAAAATTTTTGAATATTAATTTACTATATATGTACATCCATCAATCACTTTTCCTTCGCGTGTATTTTGCTATGTGATCGATCATTAATGAGTAGGGAAAAAAACGATCGATATAATCTCAAGCTGGCACGACCGGCAAGAATCACTCGAAAACGGTTGATCAGTTGCCTTTAATTTCCGTTAAAATTGAAGTAATGGGCTATCATTAATGCCCTTTTTATGTTTTCTTTTATTTGTGATCATTCATCAAAGACGAGGGGAAATTAATTAATTTAAACCCAAGTTGACTTTACCAGGAAGAAAAGGCTGACAGTTGACCAGCAATTTAAAAGTTCTGTCAAAATTATACATAGAGAAATTATTTCTCTAAATACATCGATCAACCACAAACTAGATAATTTTTGTTTGCGTTTTGGCAGTATGATCTTAAATGACATGGAAAAAAATTGACCAATATACTCCCACGTTTACAAGTTCAGCAAGAATAGGACGAAAACAGTTGATCAATTATCTCTTCACTTTTCTCGTTTTTTCCTGTTTTAATCCTATTCCTGCTGGTCTTGTCAACTAGACTTTACACTGGTAGATTTTCTTTAGTCATTAATGATCACATTTCAAAAAACACAGGCTAAAGATCCATCAACAGAACACTGATCAACTGTTTTCTTCCTACTCTTGTGGATTGTTTTTTTAAGTGTGATCATTTATGACCAGAGAAAAATTTACAAATATAATATCTACAATAGTTGACACGACCAGCAAGAGTAGGAAGAAAACAGTTGATGGATCTTTAGCCTGTGTTTTTTGAAATGTGATCATTAATTACTAAAAAAAATCTACCAATGTAGTCAAGTTGACAAGACCAGCAGGAATAGGATTAAAACAGTTGATCCGTTATCTATTAACGAACTTTTTCTTTGTTTATTGAAGTGTGATAACTAATGATCGGGGAAAATTGACCATTAAACCCACCGACCAACCAATGCAAAAAAAAATCAACACGACCAGTAAAAATAGGCTGAAAGCAATACTTGACCGGTTCAGATAAATTTAATTTTGTAATAAAACTAGTTTCTTAAATAAATTTTAGCACAATGAGGACTATTTTTAACGGGGTTTTAATGATTTATTTTTTGTCTATCATAGTTCATTTTAAATTTTTAGTGGGAGTCTGTAGAAAAATAGGTGTTTTAAACAATAAATTTTAGACATAATTCAGTTGTTGCATGGTTTGTGCCTTTAAGACAACCACGTGTATTTAACGTACTTATTTTTTATTTATGTTATTTTTTAATTTTGTGCTGTGACATCAGTCGAAATGACAGTAAATTCGAAGTTACCAAGTCAGACAAAACTGCCGTGAAATAAGCCATAAATTGGATGGATCGGGATGGGACCAAGACGGCAGGACCCAACTGTTGCGTCTTTGTTTTGGGCAGACTAGGACGCATTTCGATAACGGTCTTTTCTTCGGTACATCTGCCTGTTGCGTTAGGGTTCCGAGACCCCTCCGGAAGGAATAACCGCCAGCTGACCCTTTGTTCGCCCTCTAGACGCCCTTTTTTTAAAAGGGGGATAGGGAAGGCGAAGGAACGCCGTTGGAAACGGGGGAGAAGCGTCTTGTAATACGGGTCACGGTCCGTAAATTCGTGTGAAGCTGGCTTTCCATTATAATCTGTGTTTAACACAAGGAACGGTACACAATTTGAACGATCGGTCGTAAAAAGAAGTCGCATTAAGTTTAAAAAAAAGGCCGAATACGGCTGGTCTGCAACTTAGAACTTAGGTCTGTCTTAGAAAAACGGGGACAATACATTTTTAAACTTCTGCTTTATAAGCGATCTCCGTTAAACTAATCTGCCAAAATGAAAGATTTTTACTTCAAAACCTTTGGCAGTTATGAATTTCATTATGTGATTATGTCTCATACGTGAGAAAAATTATTAAACGAACAGCTGATGAAGGACCGATGATGGCTAGTGAGGCATGACGACCTTAGAGGTTGAGTACCTTAAAATATTTGCTGAAAGGACTTTCCAGATTCTCCGGTGAGCCTTGGAGCCTTCTCCAGAAAGGACGGACTTAGTTACAATTAAGCCTGTTTATAAATAAGGCTTTCTTCTTTAAAGGATAAACATAAACCATATTTTAATAATTGAGAACTACATTTCTAATGCGATCTGCCTCTTGGAGTCACGGTCCAGAAAACTTTCGTGACTAGTCTGTATAATAAAGCCAACAACCTCGTTTTTATATGCAGGGATGAATGCGAAAAATCAGTCTGAAAAGGTATAAATTTCGATGTAGAAGGCAGAAAAAGATTAATTGTTTAAAGATCGTACGATCTTGTGTTCTCGTTGCTACGGGTCAACGCGGATGCAACCATGAGATCATACATGACTGCAAACATAAAATTTTCTCTCTCGACACACCCCAAATCAAAAGGTCAAATCATATGGATTTCTTGCACAGTGACTTGAGGACTTACTGACTTACTAGTGACCTTTTGTTTAAGATAAGGTCAGTGGACTTTTACATGTTCAGTTGACAAATGCAGAAATTCTTCAAACTTTTTCCTTTTTTAAAGAAATAACTGATATGCATTGAAAATGTTAGAT